AGGCTTTGATACAAAGTCCCATGAAAACAGAGGTCATCCGTGGGTAGACCCACCACAAGGTTATATGAAGAGGCACAATGTAAAGTCATATGAAAATTATCAGAGATTTATCTACAATATGTGAAATTGCAGAACTACTAACTGTAGTTTGTAACCTATCATTTAAATCAGCTTCTGTACCAAAATGACCGGAGGATTGCTAATGTGATGCCAATTTTCAAAAAGGGCTCCAGAGGTGATCCCAGCAATTACAGGCTGGTAAGCTTGATTTCAGTACTGGGCAAACTGGTTGAAATTATAGTAAAGAATAGAATTGTCAGACATATAGATGAACATAATTTGTTGGGGGAAGAGTCAACATGTGTTTTTTTTTTAAAGGGAAATCATGCCTCACCAGTCTACTAGAATTCTTTGAGGGGGTCAACAAACATGGGGACAAGGGGGGATCTAGTGGATATAGTATACTTACATTTTCAGAAAGCCTTTGACAAGGTCCCTCACCAAAGGCTCTTAAGCAAAGTAAGCTGTCATGGGATAAGAGGGAAGGTCCTCTCATGGACCAGTAAAAGATATGGTTAAAAGATAGAAAACAAAGGGTAGGAATAAATGGCCAGTTTTCAGAATGGAGAGAGGTAAATAGTGATATCCCTCAGGGGTCTGTACTGGGACCAGTACTATTCAACTTATTCATAAATGATCTGGAAAAAGGGGTAAACAGTGAGGTGGCAGAATTTGCAAATGATACAAAACTACTCAAGATAGTTAAGTCCAAAGCAGACTGCAAAGAGCTACTAAACTGGGTGACTGGGCAACAAAATGGCAGATGAAATTCAGTGCTCATAAACACAAAGTAATGCACATTAAAAAACATAATTCCAACTATACATATAAAATGATGGGGTCTAAATTAGCTGTTACCACTCAAGAAAGCGATCTTGGAGTCGTGGATAGTTCTCTGAAAACGTCCACTCAATGTACAGCAGCAGTCAAAAAAGCGAACATAATGTTTGGAGTCATTAGGGAAGAGATAGATAATAAGACAGAAAATATCATATTGCCTCTATATAAATCCACAGTACACCCACACCTTGAATACTGCGTGCAGATGTGGTTGCCCCAACTCAAAAAAAGACATATTGGAATTGGAAAAGGTTCAGATAAGGTAGGGGTGGGCAGACTTTTTGGGCTGAGGGCCACATCTGGGTGGAGAAATTGTATGCAGGGCCGGGGCAAGGGGTTGGGGTGTGGGGAGAGGGCTCAGGGCAAGGGATTGGGGCAGAGGAGGGCTGTGCGGTGTATGAGGGGGCTCAGGGAAGGAGGTTGGGATGTAGGAGGGGTGCGGTGTGCAGGAGGGGGCTTATTACAGTATGAGGAGAGATTAATAAGATTGGGAATTTTCAGCTTGGAAAAGAGATGATGGGGTGGAATATGATAGAGATCTAGAAAATCATGACTTGTGTGGAGAAAGTAAATAAGGAAGTGTTATTTACTCCTCATAACACAAGAACTAGGAGTCACAATATGAAATTAATAGGCAGCAGGTTTAAAACAAAAGAATGTCTTTCTTCACAGAACACACAGTCAACCTGTGGAACTCTTTGCCAGAGGATGTTGTGAAGGCCAAGACTATAACAGGGTTCAAAAAAGAACTAGATAAATTCATGGAGGAAAGGTCCATCAATGGCTGTTAGCCAGGATGGGCAGGAATGGTGTCCCTAACCTCTGTTTGCCAGAAGCTGGAAATAGGCAACATGTCCCATTGGCTGGTTCCTTGATGATTACCTATTCTGTTCATTCCCTCTGGAGCACCTGGCATTGGCCACTGTCGGAAGACAGTCTACTGGGCTAGATGGACCTTTGGTCTGACCCCAGTCTGACCGTTCTTATGTCCATCTTTGTCATCCCTCACTAAACAGACACAAGGGAACAGAGCTCTTGCAATCAGAGAAGGATGGGTCCTTCAACAAAGGGGGGCAGTTTGAAGTCTCTGGAAACTGCATATAGGCGAGAAACCATCTTGAACAAAGCCTGCAACTTTCTGGATTAAGTTCTAGACTTTTAGATGCGTGTCTTCACTTTTATTTGCTTGTAACCCTTTCTGTCTTTATTCCTTTTACTTGGCATCACTTAGCCGGTTTCTTATTGTTAGTAAACTTGTTTACTTTTACTATGGTGCTGTGTTTAAATTGAAGGGTGTATTTACCTCAGTTAAGTTAATAAGCTGTTTTTTGCCTCTTTAGAGGAACAAATAAACCCTGTTATTTTTCTGAACTGTCCAGGGAAAGGGCTGGACATAGCAGAGCACACAGTTTTGGGGAAATCAGGGACTGGGAGTGTGTAGCGGGTCACCTTGCTGGTTGTAACCAAGGCTGGTAGAAGTCTGTGTGGGGCTGTAGACAGACTGCTGGGGTCAGAGCTGCTGAACCAGGGCTGTCTAGCACACAGACAGTTCACAGTGTGACCTGCATGCTTGTGGGCTGCTTGTGAGCATCCTAAACTGGGAGCTACAGCAGCAAAGCATTAAGACACCCAGGATTGGAGGACCCTCACTGGTCTGGATTGCACCCTGAACCACATGGCATCTTGGCAGTGTTTTTTTATTCTGGAATTTGCTCCCTTTGGTCCACCAGAGAAAGAAGTTGGCAGTTTTTTAAGTACATGGTACAGAATACACTATGTGTTCTAGTTCAGTGGTTTTCAAATTGCGGGTCGCGATCCAGTACTGAGTCGTGGAATGTAAGGCACTGGGTCGCAGTGGCTCTGGTCAGTACCACCGACCAGGCCATTAGAAGTCCCATTGGTGGTGCTTCCCGGCTCAGGAAGGCTAGTCCCTACCTGTTCTGACACCATGCTGTGCCCCGAAAGCGGCCAGCAGCAGGTCCGGCTCCTAGACGGGGGGCATGGGTCTTCACGTGCTGCCCCCACTTCAGCCAGTGGGAGCTGGGGGGAGGTGCCTGTGGGCGAGAGCCGTGCAGAGCCGCTGGTGAGCCTCCGCCCAGGAACTAGACCTGCTACTGGCCGCTTCCGGGGCGCAGCACGGTCTGCGGTGCCAGAACAGGTAGGAAGCCTGCCTTAGCACCCCTGCTGTGCCGCTGACAGGGAGTCACCTGAGGTAAGCCCGCCCCCCAATCCCACCGCCCCTATCCCCCAGCCCTGACGCCTCCCCCCCCCCCCCCGAACCCCGGAGCCCCTTCCTGCACACCAAACCCCTCATTCCCGGCCCCACCCCAGAGCCTGCACCAACAGCCGAGAGCCCTGGCCCCCTCCAGTATCCTTGGCCCAGCCCAGAGCCCCCTTCCACAGCCCAAACCTTTCATCCCCAGCTCTGTTGGGTCACGGGCATCAACAATTTTCTTCAACTGGGTCACCAGAAAAAGGTTTGAAAACCACTACTCTAGTTCTTTTCAGAGCTTATAGCCAGGGGAGTACTTATTGCTCATACTTCATCAATGGGTGAAGACAGTAGAGACAAAGCTGGGGTAGAATATACCATAGTTTATAAAAACTGTTTTTAAAAGTGTAGTTCTTTAACTATATGAAGATACTTCTAATGTGTATTTCCTCCCCAAAGATGATGTCCCTTGTAAACAGTGTGTATTAGCTAAATGTGGATATGACGTACTGGTTATAAAAAAAAATGCATAGGAACAAATACCAGTAAAGCTTCAGACCAGGCTTCACCTTGTTACAAATGATTTGTTTTTGTCTTGCTTTCAGTTGAAGCATCTTGTCATAATGGAGATGAAACCATGGAAACTATTGAAGCTGCTGAGGCACTTCTCAATATGGACTCCCCTGATCCTATGTTGGATGAAAAAAGAATAAGTGAGTTTAACAGTAGTAAATCAAATGTATATGAGCCATGTTTATAAGTAAAATTTGAAGAAACTCAATATATTGTGTATTTTCCTATATGTATACAAATAATATAAAAAGGTGTGGGTAGGTGAGACTTGATGGCTTTGTTGGTAGCTTCAACATGCCAGCTTAGGGAATCAGATAGGGAATCGCATAGGCTAATCAGTGTCAGAGTTGGACATTGGAGGTTATGAAAGAAAGGGAAATAAAATAGGATGTGTGTGTGAGGATTTAAATGTAATATTGTGCTGAAATGCTACAGTTTATCTGGTTATTGGTATTGTATTTCACGTTGGCAAAGTAACTGAATGAATGCAGGCTACCTTAGATATGAATGAAAATGCCATGTTCTGTTGTGATCACAACCTTAGCTTCTGTTGCAAGTATTAAATTATTCTACATCGTGTTATGATGTGTGGTCATGTACAAACCTCATGAACAGACTTGTTCATTTGTGGGCTGACCTTTTCTGCTGTGAAGACCTTAATTATAATAATAAATTTTATGTACATTATGATGTCTATACTTTGACCTATAGAAATGTTTCCTTATAATTGGAAGTGTTTTTTAAAAGTGTATTTAATTCTGTAAAAAGCATTGATAATGTCATCTTTTTTTTTCCCTAAGCAAATATGTTTGGTACATCTGAAGATGAAATTATTGTTGCTCCTGTTACCCATGTATCGGTCACACTTGATGGGATCCCTGAGGTTGTAGAGGTTCACCAAGTTCAAGACTCTTATGCTGAATCATCAGACACTCCAGAACTTGAGCAGCCTAAGAAGAAGAAAGGTAAGAAGTTCACAGGATATGAGAGTTTGGAATAGAAAATGCTTAGAGGTATGCTTTCTTCTCCTTGTGTATATGTAACAGCTGTTTAATAGGAGCTACATAAAGGCATCAAGACAACATAAACTAAGTTTACTCAGCTAGCTGTTCAGGAAAAGAACTTGACAAGGTGAAAATTTTCTGTAGTATTTTTTTGAAGCCTAGGCATGCCTAGTTTCCCTTTGTATATTGCATTGCTATTCAGTGGATGCAAAAGGGTTGACACTGCTTCTGGAACAGCACAGGAGGCAGGAGGTATGTGTATGTGTATGGCCTTGCTGTCTGTGGGGAATAAATACAGTCATGCCAAGAGCTGGTCAGACTGACTCAAATCCAGCAAGACAGAGATGATGTCCCAACAACTGAACAAACACTTGCCAGCAGGCAGGACTTGAGAACTGAGATGGAGAACAAAGTGTCAGGTGACTGGAAGAAGGGTGGGCTCAGGAGGTTGGACCGGGGAAGACAAAAGAAAGAGAAAGAAAGAGCCAGAGATCGAGTACATCAGAGATTGGCTGTCTGATTGTGGCACTGGTTTGACCAGGATGGACTATGGCTTAACTTCTGCCTCTCTGTGTTAACCTAACAACTTTCAGATTCAGTGTGCCATAGTAATAAATGGTTACCTTGTTTTGAAAAGGTCGCCTGTGTCACTGTAAGTACTCACTGAGAGCATTGGGCCCTGAAGGGGTAGAGTAAAGCCTCCCATAGGGCTTTTGGGTTGGCTGGATTCATTACAGGGCTCCACGGAAAGAGACTGGGATTGTGGGTGCCAAAGGTCAAGTCTGGGAGTCGTGAAGGCCACGGGCCTGCCCCTGTGAAACTGTGAGAGTTCTTAGGGCCTGGTATACTCTACTACAGAGGTCACTTTCAGTCTGGGTTATAGACCAGACCCTGTGACTCCAGGATACTTGTAAACTGAGCAAATGTGCTCAGATTCTAATAGTACTTGGGACAGATCATATGGAATCATCATTCCTCACAAAACATGGATCTTTGCTATGCCATCTTTATAGAGTCACTCTTCAAAGCAGAACCACACTGTAAGTTGTAAGGCCTTTTGTCATTTAAGTGTTATAGTAGTTGCTTCTGCGGTACCTCAAGCATTATACTATTAACTTAGTTCATTTACCTAAGACAGATTCGAAAAAAGTACTCTGTTTTATTTAGCATTAGATTAAAAATACCCTGCAGTCTTTGTTGGAAGCTATTGGAGAATTGTTTGGCTTGAAGAATGTTTCTGTTAAGAAAATGAGAAAAGAGCTAAGTTGTCTTTCTTGTTTGTGAAAGCCTGACTGTCACAACTGTTATAATAGTCTCAATTTCCAATAGTTGTGTGTTTTTGTATCTGTGGTCTGGTATTTATCACAACATGGTTTGCAATAGATAGCTTACAGAGTCTGTTAAGCAGGCTGCTATCTGTCCAGCTAAATAAGCATCTAAATGGGGAAAAGCAGCATGCTTCATTGGGCTATCTGTTATTAAAAATGATTGAATGGAATTTGTAGTTTAATTTGTTTTAAATTTCTTATTAATTTGCTGGATCTAGGTGCTTGTACAGCTGTTAAAATAGAGTTACAAAAATAAAAATAACACATATCCTGAACTGCTTATACAAAATCACAGTAATATCAATTACCCAACATCTGATCAAGCTTTCTAGTATACGTTGAACAGTTACAAATTCAGACTGTTGAATTAGAGGGGGAAATGCTCTAGAGTTGAGGATGGGGAGGGATAGCTCAGTGGTTTGAGCATTGGCCTCTTAAACCCAGGGTTGTGAGTTCAATCCTTAAGGGGGCCACTTAGGGATCTGGGGCAAAATCAGTACTTGGTCCTGCTAGTGAAGGCAGGGGGCTGGACTTGATGACCTTTCAGGGTCCCTTCCAGTTCTATGGGATAGGTATATCTCCATATATTATTATGCATTAGGAAACTGCCCAGGGGAATGATGGCTTGAGTTCTTCACTGATTGCAATGTTGATAATGTCAGACATCAATTTTGGAGTAATATGGTTCAGAAAACCAGTACTTTATATGTTAAAACCAACATCTTAAACTCCACCTGGCCAGATTACAGAGTACCAGTGTTATGTGCTCTACGTGATATATCACTCAGTAAGCAAGGACCCATGTCCTGTAGTAAGTTCAGTTTCCAGATGGTCTCGTGATATAGTCACGTCCAAGTAGAATGCCTTGCAATAGTCTAGGCTTGATGTGAGACAGGCACGGATTATTTTAGCAGCATAGTTTGTTTCCAAAATTAAGGGCCACAGCCTTCCTGCCATCAGTAGATGCAGGCGACAGGGCATGGCGCAGCAGGGCGCACTCTTGGCTACAACTGTTAGAGCAACCAAGGATCTGAGACCCCCTAAATTGCTAACCCGTTTAAACAAATTTTAGATTTTCCCTCGATCAGAGGTGCTATGATACGGTACAGTCAGCTCTTCTGATTGTTTCGTTAAACTACCAAACATTTCCTCAGTGTTGACTGGATTGAACCTCAGCCACCTAGTTCTCACTCAAGCCCCAGTTTAATTAATTCCTGGCAAAATCAGACCAATGTTGATGTGGAGCTGGCGTTCTCAGTTTACTAAAGGCACTGCAGTCTGTCTCCTCGCTCTCCTTCTCAATGTGCTTGCATACATTTCATATAGGCAAGGACACAAGATGGAATCCTTCAGCACCCCATCTGACTGAGCCCTCAGGGCAGAAGAGCATTCACTCAAAGCAATCTTATAGGACTTCTTGCACAAAAGTAGCTGAGCTATTCAAGATGTCTCCATCTAACCCTGGTAGGGACCACAGACATTTCAGCAATCCCTCATGATAAGTTAAATTAAAGATCCAAAACAATGGACCTCAACCTTTGTCATAAACTGACCTCATGTGACAACAGAAATATTTCAGGACTTCACCCATTTCTCCCCCTTCCCCCCCCCATCTAGCCATAAAGAAACGAAGGGTGGTTGTGACCCCCCAGGTCAAGAACCCATGACCAAAAGAGTTATCTTTGTTGATAGCTATGATGACATCCTTGGCAATATGATCAGTACAGTTTCTGCCCCATACCCAGCCCTGAATCCTAAGTGACTGGGGGAAGAAAACAAATATTGCCAGAGTTGCTCACCACGCTTTTTCAACAAAGCTTTTTCCAGAATGAAGATCATGCAAATATAGATACTTAGCAAGATTGTCATTGTCAAAAGATGGCTGCCTGAGCAGAGGCCTTGCAGTGTCTTCCAAAAAACCCCCAGCTGGTATCCTGCCTACCCACGCTGCCAAAGGGGATATTGACATTTCAGGCCAACAGAAGGCCGAGCTGGCCTTCACCAACCAGTAAAGGATGAGGTTCTATTTCATGGGCTAAAACTCAGAGTTCCTCAGCTCCTACAAAATCTCAGTGAGCAACATTTGCTGAATTGCAGAGCATTTGAACCCTGAAGATATTGCTCTGGTACTATGAAACTGACAGGTCAGTCCAGAAGTGAGTAGGTTTAATCACAAAGTAATCTGAAAATTCCTCACAATGAGAAAATCTTGACTCTGTAACAGAGTTATTTTATTATTTGTATTATGGAAGCACTTAGAGGCCAAACCAAGAGTGGAGCCCGGTTGTGCTAGGCACTGTGCAGATGCATTGTTTGCATGCTACACAGGCAAGAGAAACTCTTTGGGAAAGGGTCAGAGGGTAAATAGAGGGACTATAAAATGACTTGCCCAAGGTCATGTATGTTGTCAGTAGTAGAGCTGGGAATAGAACCATGATTTTCTGAGTGGCAGGTCAGTACTTCATCCACTGGACTATGCTGCTTCTCAGCAGAGCAGAGATAATATATAAAATAAAATCCTCATTGTGCCTAGACATTGCCAAAGTGCCCAAGGGGGTAAGTAGGAAACCTGATTTGCCTAGTATTTGCCAGAAAAACTCAGTCTTGAGGGTTCAGGACCAAAACACAATGCTATAAAAACTGGCATCTAAATGAATGGGGAGCAATAGAGAAACAGATTCTGGATTTTGTTAAGAAATATATATGCGAGATTTTCATTTTTGACCCTACTCGAATAGCTGATCTCTCATTTTTTCAAAGGAACGCTCTTCATTCTTGTCAGGAGCTTTAACTCCTCCCTCCCACTCTTCACCGGGGCCTTGAAACACAGCCACCATCTTTCTGTCTAAAAAAGGATGTGATGCTTTTCAGAACCTATTTGGCTCTGTTTGGCTGGAGATGGCACTGCTGGGCAATGAAAGGGAGCTGCTTCTACCCTCCTTTTTTGTATTTCTAGCCACTGCAGGCCAAATGTGTGAGACTTTAGGATTGAAAATGAATGTTTCCCTCACATGGCAGTGCAGACCACTGCTATCAATGGAGCTTTCTTCTCATATAGTAAAGAGCTAAAGAATCTTCTTTTGTCTCTAAATTAAGTTTCGATGCTAGCTAGACAAGACAGTGCTGTGTATTTTATCTAGCCTTTTGATTTTAAAAATACAGTTAAAAAGATGAATAAACTACTATTAATTGCCTTTAGATGCCCTAAAATGGACAAAAAATATACAGATTTCAAAGCAGAAGTAGATAGTTTATGTATCTAGCTTTTGAAAAATAGGTAAAATCTTTGAAGCAAGACCAGTTAAATTGACTAGTGCTATGTGGAGTGCCCTCAATACCTGTTAGCGTCAATGAGCATTGAGAGTGCTCAGTACTTTAGAGGAATGGGCCATTAAGAAGAAATGTAAGTGTTGAGATGGGAAGGAAATATAAAAAACTGAGCTATTTAATGAGTTAATGTTCTTTTCCAGATCACATTTTTCTGTTGAAATTTACGTAATAGTGGTTTCATTTCAGGGAAAAAGTCCAAATCTTCTCGTCCTGAATCCCCTACGACAACTCCAAACATATCAGTGAAAAAGAAAAACAAAGATGGAAAGGGTAAGTGTGATGGTTTGAGTAGAATGTTTGTCTTCAGTGTTTTAAATTGAAAATTGAATGTGCCACATAAGAATGAAGCCTACCAGCTTTCTCATTATGCAAAAATAAATCGTGTGTTGCCACATGCTCAGAAGACATGGTTGCCACCTTCTGTTAAAGCGGGGAGAGGAGTGCAGGAAATCCCTTTGGAAGATACTCAGTTTCTGGGAGGAATAATTCATTCTTCAGCTTCAGCTTCAGC